ACAGCCACGGCGCCCAGCCCCTTGCAGTCCCCTGGAGCTGCCTCCGTGCAGCCGCCCCCCGTCCTCGACCCGGCTTGTGCAGCCTGGCCCTGCCCGCTGCTGCCGGCCCGCGTCTCAGGATGGGGTGTTGGGGGGGACGCTCTGTGCCCGTTTAACTTAGTTCTGTCAGACAAGGGCTGCTCTGTACAGATCCGAGCCTCGGAGGCTCCCCCTCCGTCCTGCTGGCCTCTCAATTGGAGAGGGGAGACCCAGCGAGCAAGCGCCAGTCCTCCTTTGCCGCTCCCTCCCCGCGGGACCCGTCCCGTGCTGTTGTTCTTTCTTTTTTCCTTTTCTCCTACCAGATTTTTGGCGTCTTTATCTTTTGAAGAGGGCGATGATCTGTTGGAGTTCCGCAGGTGCTCTGGTTGGCTGAGTGGGTCTGTAGATGTGGGTCTTGGTGTATTTGTGGGAGAGGGTGACTTACAAGCGTCCTTCTACTCCGCCATCTTGTCCGGAAGTGAAAAAACTGATTGTTGATGTTGATAATAATAATTAATGTCATTTGTTTAGTATTTTAGCATTTATAAAGCACCTTCACATATAATATCCTATTTGATCATCAGAGGTTGGTATTCTCTCCATTTTAGAGTTGTAAATATATAAAAGGTCAGATTATTTGCTTGAGGTCACTTTAGTAGCATCAGTCTTCCAAATAGCAAGTTTTTTCCATATTTTGTGTCTTGTCCCTCATTCACCTTCTCTACTTGCCTCCAAGGCTCAGGTAGGAGCTAGAATCAGAGACAGCAGATCTGGGGATTGCCTTCTGCCCAGGGAATATTCTTTGTCCTGATCTGCAGCCCTGGGTTTGCTCTGACCCGTCGCAGTACAGCTGGGACTTTATTATGAGGAACTTCAGAGGAACTATGTCATGGGTCTTCAGGAGAGAATATGCTTTTATAATCCTGATGAACAAAAGGCTTCATCAGCTCAGACAGGTTTCCTCAGTGCATTCTGATGTTCTCTACTGTTCCTAGAGGACAGGTGAAGAGATCATTCCTGGGCCCCCAGGCTTCATGGACCCTATCCCACCGTAAAGATGAGATGATTGGTGTCGTAACAGGCAGCCTTGAATGGCAGTGGAGAAACAATAGTATGAGACCACACACTTCTCTCACACTGCATTTACATGGGGTCTTCACATGCATCATCTGCTTTGGTTGCCACAGGCCTGTGAAGTAGAAGGGATTTTGTCCCCCTGTGTCAAATAAGAACACTGAATCAGAGAAACTGACATACCTGTAGTCACACAGCTTGTCATTCATAAATCTGGGTCTCCTGAGTCCAATTGCTTCTTCTGATGGGCTTTGCTACCTCGGGAGAAAGTGGGAACATGATGGTAGCTGAGGAGCTTTTGTGTCATTAGCATCAAAGTGCTGTCATCTCCGGCATCAAGAGTGTGGCACGTACCACAGGGGGCATGGCTCACCCCTTCTTTGCTTCCATAGACCTTTCCCAGGCTTCAGGTTGCCCCTCTGCTGTGTCCAGTCTCCTGCAATGTATCTGTTTAGTGCTGCCCCTCATATTCATTTTGTCTGTTCCTGAGACCAAGTCAATCCTTGATGTCCAGAAGTTTTACTTACATAAACTTGTTACATGGAAGGAAGGAAGAGACAGTGTATGATTTGCCCAAAATCCTGCCTGCTCCCCTCCCTCCAGCCCTGTATAGGCCATCCTAGAGCCATATGTGCTTAGTAAACTTTGTTCTGTCCAGAAGAAGTGTCTTCTTTTAGGAAGTAGGTAAATAACTATTAGTTCAGTTAACGTGGACAGCTGAGCATGACATATCAGAGCTGTTTGGCTTTGGTTTAGTAGTATTTAAAAGCAAAACATTGGTTTATTTCTTTTTTACTTTGGTGGAGATTTTTGACAGGGAAGTGGTTAATAAGGTCTTAATCTGGAAAATTGTTGTAAGAAAGTATTAAATATGTTGTTTTTCTTTTTGATATAGGTTTTGGCAACCATCACTATTACATATTCTTCTTATTTTTCCTTTCCATTGTGTGTGACTGGATTATATATGAATCTTTCATCTGTAAGTATACATTTTTCTTATAGCAAGTTTATGCACCCACACTCACACATACTTTTTCTTGTAAACCCTTATATGTCACATTCTGGCTGGGTAACTATAAACCATGCCTAATAAAAATGAAATGGATGCCTGTAAGACTCTCAGCATTGGGGAGCTGCAGGAAATGCTAGAAGAGGTTAGTTGTCAGTACTTTGGAAGAGACTGTACTCTGAAGTGACCTTGATAAATTTGAGAACTGGTCAAAAATAGAGATTTGTTTAAGGTAAGTGCAGATTTATCCCCCATTTTACTTTGAAATGAGTAAAAATCAGTTGCTCAAGTATAAAGCAATGGAAGTGATAAGTAAATAAAATAGGGGTAAAAAATGGTAGTAGAGAGGTTGAGGGAGGAGGGAGGTGGTCACAGTAATTAAGGAACAAAACTCAGAAAGCTCGTGCCATTTAACAAATATCAAGTCACAGCTCAAGACCTGATGGGAAAACTAGAACAATTAGTCAAAGGTTGGAAATAGTAACTTGGAAGAAAACATTAGATACTTATTCTGTATCCCTGAGAAAGGAAACTGCTCAGTAGCAGTGTGAAAGGGCGTTGAGGAATCTCATGTCACGGAGTGACACTGAGCTGTTCCAAGGTGATCGACTAAGAACAGGGTTTAAATTGAAGCAGGAAGGATTTTGGTTAGCTCTGAAGAATTGCATGACTTTGCTTTTCAAACCTTGGACTAGGTTACCTAACTGGAAAAACTCACACTGCTTGTAGTTTATTTTGACTTTATTTAACTGCTTATTATTTATTAAACTTTCAGGAGAATTGTATTCTAGAGGCAGAGGCTTCACTACTAATCTGTTTCCATCCACCCTCCTGTTATGCTCAAGTCTTAAATTTTGCCAGTAGAACACTAATCTATTGCTTGAACTAAAATCTGGAATGATTCAGAAAGACGTCAGAAGTTTTTTAGTACATTTTTTCTTTTCCCTTTAGCATCCCAAACCCTACTGCTCCTTAAACACCCATCCCCGCCCAGCCCCTCACCCACTGGCTTTTCTCTAGTTTAAATTTTGTTTAGTTTTTGGAAGATAATTCCCCCGGTGCTGTCCCCTAACCTCCCAGTTACCCTCCCCAGAAAAATCCAGTATTACAAGTTTTGTTTAGGGTTTCATTTTTAGAGATTGTTAATTAATATTTAGGAAATGGTCTATTTTTAGCCCTTCCAAAGACATGGAGAGGGCCTCAGTTACCTTGTCAGCCCCTTTCCCACCAGATACCTTAGGTGTCTCCAATCACTAGGGAAAGCTTTTGTAGCTCAGTACAAATGCCACTATCTCCAGTGGGCCTGAGTCAGAAGGTTGTGATCCCTGATCTCAGTTCTTGTCAAAGGCCATCAGTGTTCCTGAGCATTGGAATTTTAAAACCTCTTAGGTTATGTCCTGTAGTAAGAAATAAAAGATTTTTTGACAATGCTTTTTTCTGTTGAAAGAGCTGCCCTTTTAAGGCCAGACAATAAGCATATTCCTGGAAAACCCTTTTAAGCTGGCTCAGGGACCCACTTGTCCCTTGGACTTGATCTTCGGGGAGAGGAGCCAGATTTTACACACTCTTGTCTCTCTCCATTCTCTCTCTTTGCTAAAAATAGTCACCTTTGTTTGTTGTCTATGTCCAGCATAAGACTGTATTGATAAGGACAGAAGTAATTTTCCATCACATTCATTCTTTCCAAGTTGCATGCATTTGTTCCTTCCTCCTCTTTGCCTTTATTCTCTGACTCTCAACCAATTTTTACATTATGTTTTGTTTCTTAGAAACAGTCCCACTGTATATTCACTTACAACTGTATAGACTCGCTGAACATATTTTGTTACTTTTATCCCATTATATTCTGACAGTATTTCTTTACACTGAATGAGGACATCATGTCATTTATCATTATTTCACAGATAGGAAAAAGGAACTTTTGCCCCATTTTCCTAAAGAGAGGCTGTGCTGTCATACTACCTTCTTTGTTTATCATGAATGCTCCTGGTGCTAGAATGGTGCTGTACACCCGCCTCCCTGTGTGATACAGTTCCAGCTACTCTGGCTCCGTGCAGCCTCCATCCATTTCCTCTTTTGTGAGGTCTGTTTTCAGGATAGGCAGTAAGTAACTCAAAGTGTCAGCATCCTGCAAGTTACAGGGAGAAAGATTTTTGGATCATTGTTAGAAAAAACATGGTAACTTTCAGAGCTATTTAAAGATGAAAATGACCTGGAGCGATATCATTAGCCAATGACTACCTGATAAGAATGTATTATTAATACATATTAAAGTGTTATATTGCATAAGAGAGTATATGTGGCCATTTGCAGCCCTATCTTTGATAAATCTGAAATCAGTCCTATGAAAATTCCAGTTTCAGAGTCATGCTGTGTTATCAAAAAAATTCTCAGAAAGGAGCAGTTGAAATCCATGAGCTGAAAGTAGATATTCTTTCCCCCTCAGCAGCTGTTTTCTCTGCCTGCTGTTGGAAATTATATTCTTTTTTTGTCATATCAGGTACATGGAATGCATCTTTCTTTGCTGTCCTAGTGAGAAGCTCTAAAGACAGTGTAACTTCCCTTAGCTTTTTTTTACCTTAATTGTTACTCTATGATGATTGCCCTTAGATTGCTTCTGGTATATATTCATGAGAAATGGTTGATGAGACTCAAAAAGTTAAAAAAAAAAAAGATTTTTAGGGCTTAAATGGACAGACAATTGGTAGTAAAGTTATAGACTCATTTTCTTCCTGTCCCAAGAGCTCTTAAGTGCTACTTTGGGAAAGTGTCTAAAACTACTTACCAAATTATCAGAGACGTTTATTAAATCTCAAGGTGCAAATCTACGCAATTCTAATTTCAAGAATAATTTGTCCTTTATGAATGGCCATGATACCTATTTAAATTCATTGATTTTACTTAACCTTGAAAACTTGTCCCCTTATTTCTGCTGCTTCCTACCTGTATTCTCCTTACTGCTGCTCTTGGCTGCATGAGTTATGGGGTCAGTATCATGAAGGCCATAGTGAAGGCCTCACTGTTGATTGGTATATAAGTAGATATTCCTGGGGAGAAACTGAGCTGAGACCATATGAATCGTGTTCTCTATCTTTTTCTTAGGGGTGTCTTGTCTCATGAGTTCCCTCACCTGGCTTTTTTCCCGCTGTGGGATTAATTACGATACCAATGCAGAAGTACACTCAGTAACTGTAAATGTTGTTAGGTTGTGTTCCAATGGTATCTAGGTGCTAATAGGATTTTTTGTGCCCACAGCAATGGCCTGTTGATCTGAACCCTTGATAAAGGTTTATATTCAGTTCTGTAATTGACCCGTAAGTTGTCGTAACATGGATAAGATAATTTTCTAGGACAAATATTTATTAAATAAATAATCACTCTCAGTTACCAAGTTCTTAAACAATTAACTTATGGCAAGTGCATTTTATGCTGAATATGCTGATTTTATTGATGGTTTTATGGACCTTTTTTGCTTTTATTACTTCATTGCCAACTACCAGCACGATATTATCATAGCCTTAACAGATGCCTTTTTTTTGTTTAAATCTTTGTTGAGCTAGCATTTGAAAGATAAAATCTTAAAGCTGAGTTCTGACCTATGCCATCATGTCTTACTTTCTCTATTTCCTAAATAGAACTGCAGTGGTTTTAATCTTTGTGAAGAATGATAGCTGGTTTGCTGCCTTTTTAAATAATGGGTTCCTTTTTTGTGAATTCACAGATTGGTCAAATCATTGTGCCACGACATTCAAAGAAGATGGACTGTGGACCTACCTCAATCAGATTGTGGCTTGTTCCCCTTGGGTCTTATATATCTTCATGTTGGCAAGTTTCCATTTCTCATGGTCAACATTTTTATTAATAAATCAGCTCTTTCAGGTATTTATTTCTTTTGTTACAATGCCTTTGAGTAAATTTCTAATAACCCAGAGTGAGGTAGAAAGACTTGAATTTCAGATCAGAAGACTTAGATTCAGATTCCACCTTTGTCACTTTGTGGGTCTAGTCATGTCATTTGACTCCTGAATTGCAGTTTCCTTGTCTATAAAATGGGGATAGTAATGCCTGTCTACTCTCACAGGATGGTTTAAAGTTTAGAATAATAAGTTGTTGGTGTAGGAGTTATCTAATCTAACCACCTTATTTCATAGATAGAGGTACAGAGAGGTGAATTGAGTTGCTCAGGGTCACCCAGTGAATGGCAAAAATGAGAGCTGGAAACTTAGGTCTTCTGACAGTCCATTCAAGGGCTTTTTCCATCATACAATAAAGTTATATGGTGTGTGAAAGCATGGTATAAACTGTAAACAATTGTGCAAATGTGAGATGATTATGTTCCCTCACTTTTTCCAGCCCTGTTTGTTATCCTTATTATTATGCAGTACATAAGTAGATAGAAGTGGGGAAGGAAGGAAAGATACATCACTAACCAATGGACGTGGTAATTACACTTGCAGAGAAGGTCATGACCATTAGAAAGTTCACACTCCAGGCGGTAGCCTCCACCTTCAGCTTTCTCTGAAGCTTCTATCCCTTCCCTGCTGCCTGCCTGCCTGCCTTTATGAGCGTAACCTAGTTCTCATTGTTGCTATGGCCTGCCCTCGTAGAATGGACAGCCATGATCAGTATGAGCCAATTACCGCCAGACCTCTGATAATTAGAACATTACTCGACAAAAGCACAATGTATTCCATTTTCATGGGCAAGTAACCAATTCTGCAATAATAATACAAAAATAAAGTAAGAAAAAGGAAAAAACTTCTAAGGAAAGGAATTAATTAATAATACTGACTGAACTTGGTTTCTAAATATTCATCCTTATCTCCTATTTGATATCTACAGACTCAGATAGTGAGAATGGATGTTAGCATCAATCATTATTAATATTAATTGTGATCATCTATAATATCTAATGTTTATACATGCTTTACATATTCCAAAGCACCTTCCCATCTATTGCTTCACAAACGCTTGAGATTCAGACTGTGCCAAAATAGTGTTTCCATTTTATGGATGAGAAAACTAAGCCTAAGAGATACTGAGTTCCTTGTTTACGGTCATAAGGCTCAGTAGGAGGTGGAGTTAGAAGTAGAATCTAAGATTTGAGACATCAATTCTAATTCTTTTTCTTCTTTCCAGGACTCTTAGAACAAGTTATTTGAGACTAAAATATCCTTAATTTTTAGTGTATATGTCTATACTCTCTAAGGCAGAAAAGTGGACTCAAAGTTTTGGAGAGTTTCTAAATATAAGAATTGAAAGTAAAGTCAAATAAAATCCAGTTATTTGAAGACTTTTATCTCCTGTGTGTGTTATTGAGTCACTTTGACTGTAGACTGCTGGCAAGGACCCTGGGTTTTATTCTCACACTGACTGAGGTGTCTGTCCCAGTTTTGCCGGTTTCTAAGCTGTGCAGCCTTGGACCAGTTAGTATCTCTATCAGCCTCTGCACTGAATATTTTAAATACATTATCTCAGATCCGTAGACAATCTGATGAGGATGCCTGGATAATCTCTGATTTGCATATAAGGAACCTGATGTTTGGTTGTTTTGAGAATTAGATGAGATATCTCAGTGAATAATATGGGTTTTAATCATTTGGGAGTTGTTTAAGTTACCTTAAGTATTACCCTACCACAAATTTATGGATTTAAATGTTCTTCACTTCAGATTAACTTTTTTATTTGGTGCTTTTCAAAGACACACTAAGAAACATATACAGGTTAAGATAATTATGCTAATACTGATGTTATATTGTTTTATTCATCTGAAAGTTGAATACTGAATGTGTTAAGAATCTAAATATGACCATAAGCCCTGGCTGAAGCAATCATTTCATGACTCTAAGTCAATGCACTGTGCTTTCTTGAAGGTTAGTAATAATCAGACAATCAAAAAAAAATGCTCAGTGACTAGATACACAAAGGGGAGTCTAGTTTAGAGCTGCTGAGTCCTTTCCCTCACCATGATCCTTGGTTGGAAGGCTGGGTGATGTCGTCTTTGAGGGAGAACTGAATGTTTGCCAGTGTCCTGTGGTGCACTGCTAAGAGTGATGGAGCCTCAACATGGTGGTATTTTTCATGTACCTTCCAATCTTCTTTTTCAGATTGCTTTTCTGGGCCTGACCTCCCATGAGAAGACCAGCCTGCTGAAGCAGAGCAGGCATATGAAACAGACACTGTCCCTCAGGAGGACCCCATACAAGTAAGTGAGACCTACTCTGCCCTCTGAGTCTGTGGAAGGTGCTGGCCTAGCCGTGGGTTTCCCAACCTAAGGTCACCACCTGTGACTGTGCTGCCGTCCTCTAACTGGCCATCTGGTAGAGTTGAACCTCTTCTTTCTTGGACGCCTCAGTGACAGGAGATGAGTGATAAGGTCATGAGCCCCAAGGTGGTAAGAATTTGGGATTTAGTCTCCTGGACTCAGCACAAACAGTAAGTGACTTTGAAGTTTTGCCAGCGTGGGGAATCTCTTCACTCAAGCCACATGGTCACAAGACTGCATATTGCTAGCATGAAGTCAGTGTGAGATAACGAAGCACGTGGCTGAGAGAGCCGGCCACAGAACTCTCTGTAGAAAGCGTTCTGTTGTGAGCTTTGCCAGGATTTTCAGCCTGGCTTTCTACTACGAGTAATTCCTACAGCTCTGTGTTTAAATGTGCCCACTAATGTCAGGGAAAAGCTAGTTTTTCAGGTTTGGGATGTGTTCTCCCCAGAGCATTGGTTGTATAAATCCTGTCCTCAGCTGAAAATGAGGGTATTTGTAGGAAGGCCATCATCTTATGCTACAAACGATCAGGCTTTGAAGCTTATCTCCCTGTCATACTTATCGGGATCCAGAGGCCAGGAGTGCTGCAGAGGTGACCTGGAGTCCTCTAGGGATTTGAAGGCTCACCGCATATCTCATGAGCAGTCTATTTTAAAGCACACTCATGGTGCAAGATGAAACTGTTAGGCTGCTGGACAAGGGAATCAGAGCCTGGAATATGACTATGATGTGTTTAGAGGAGAGAAACTGACTTAATTGGGAAGAGACAGCCAAAGTGCTGAAGAGTAGAGAGTAATGTTAAGCTTGTGACAGTGTTTCAAACTGGCAGTCATCATGAAGTCCCTTTCTCAGTGATTAAACCAGAAAAATATTTACTCCACCAAAGTATGGACATCTTTGTGATAGAGGTGGAATTTTAAGCTGAGCCTTGAGAGATGTGGTGTGGGGCATGATGAGGAAGGAGGGAAGGGCATTCCAAGCCCTAGAGAAGAGTCTGAATAAAGGGCTAGCGGTGAGAGAGCTGGGGCATGTAGGGAAGTTGCTGAGTAATGGCAATATTACTGGAGGAACTAAAGGTAAAGCATTGGAGCCACTTTGAATCTAGCTTCTAAATTCTGCTCAAGCCAAAGACTGGTCTTACTTGTCTTCCCGTAAGTTATTTTCACCTACTGGCTAGCACTTGCGCTGGGCCCTGTCAATCCCCAGAGTGCCTCCCTGCCTCCACCCCGTCAATTTCATGTGGTCCTCCTTCTTCCTAGGAAGCTGCCTTCTGAGTAGCCTTGGTACTTTCCTGCCCACTCACTAAACAGCGACAGCGGCGCAATCATCCGTCCACACAGCTGTGTTCTGATGTGTTTAAGGCGTGGGATTAGGCACTTGAAAGATGGGGCATATGCATAAAAATAAATATTCATTGTAGATGGAATAGATGATAGTGTTCAGGAATTCAGTGGAGAAAAAAATGATGGTGAAGACATGTAGTCAGGAAGGCTCCAGAGGGGGAGTGGGCCCATACCTGGGCCTTGAGAACTGGTTGGACTTAAAGGAAGAGTAGGGTGTGTGGGTTCCAGGGTAGAAGACTAGCCCCACTAGTTGTGATCGTGGGAAAAATAAAGCCAGGGTAGCCGTAACAAAAGGTCTATATAGATGAGTTCAAAGAGCCAATACCTTAGGAGTCCTGAGGCTTTATTGTGTAGGGCTGTTAATACAAAGGTAAGGAATTTGAATTTGAGCTTCTGGACAGAGGAATGTTTTTAAAGAAGTTTGATTGGGAGATGAGGGGCTATGAATATACAGGTTTTTGGAGGACCTGACTCCTTCAGTATATAAGATGAAGAAATTGAGATAGAGACATTTAGAGGGTTTCTTAGAAAATTTAGAAGAATCCTGTCTTGTTGATATGTTTTTCTGGCCTGTCTAGCCTTTGAGATACTCAAAGTCTGAATTGGAGCAGTGAGAATGGAAAGAAAGAAGTTTAATGATGGTAGTGACTGTTCTAGTGAGTGGGGACCCAAAATGGACTTAAGTCACTGGACAGAAGCCAAGGAATCTCAAAATAGAGATTTAGGTCCAGAAATGGAACTCAGCTTCAGTCTTAAGGGCCATGAATTCAAGGAAATGTCTGATTTGCCTATTCCTGCAGGATCTTCAAAGGATGTACATTGTAAATTCTCAGTGAATGATTATGGTTTGAATGAATGTTTGTCAAATGTTAATAGGAAGCATAGTAAGACGTGTTTTCTTCCTTTCTTGGCAGCCTTGGGTTCACACAGAACCTCGCAGATTTCTTTCGGTGTGGCTGCTTTGGCTTGGTCAAACCCTGTGCAGTAGACTGGACGTCACAGTACACCATGGTCTTTCACCCAGCTAAGGAGAAAGTTCTTCGCTCAGTATGAAGAAGACAGCCCAAAACTCTCACTCTGATTTGTTTGTGTTTATGTCGATGTCCTGTGGTCTGCAAGTGAAGATTTAGAATTCACCTAAGCCCAAAGGAAAACACAGGTGGTTTTTAAAGCCATTTGGTAAAAACAGAAGTTCTTGAGAAAGACATTACACTTTTTCAGATTTAGCAAGATGGACTGTTCCTAAACAATCTTCTTGGCAGACATCTAAAAATAAACATTTTTCACAAGAAAACGCAAGTTCCCCCTTTTTTTGGAGATAATATTCACCAATTATGGAGAAAATATGGTATTTTCAGATACTTTATTGGCTGTTTCAAAATAGTACTATTCTTTAAACTTGTAATTTTTGATAAATTATTTGTCTTTGTTTTATCTATAAATATGTAAAAAATATTTAAATAGATGTACCTGTTTTGCTTTCACACTTAATAAAAAAAATTTTTTTTTGTAGTTGAGACTAAGTTTCTGATACTTGACACTTCTAGAATTTTAAAATGAGGAAAGGTGTATATAGGACATAAACATTCCCAGTTCCAGGAATGAGTTGAGATCACCATTAACACCAACAGCAAGATTTAATTTTATTTTCCATCTTGCTTAGAAAATTGAACATAGGAAGTCTTAAAGATTAATTAGTATTTGTACTTAGTACCCTCAAAATGTTACACTGGTGTGATTGTAATTGCTAATTTCCCTTGTTCTGGAGGAAATGCTAATTCCACTTGAACTTTTTCATGTGTGTGTGTGTGTGTGTGTGTATCATGTATATGTAATACATATATATGCCCCTGGACATGACGCCTTCCTGCTGAAAATCCTCCCTTAGGTTCCCATTGCTCTTGGGGTAAAAGCTACAGGCCCTGAAGGACAGAGCCGTGTTTTGTTTACCATCTTACTTTGGACCACTTGTCGTACTCTAACCACCTTACAGTTTCACCTCTCAGTTCCTCAAAGATCTGTTCTCCTTTTTTCTACAGAGCCTTTCAGATAAGGAAACTAAAGCCTAAAGAAGTTTATATCTTCTCCAAGGTCTCATGGATACTAAGTGGGGTAACCACTCTAGAGTCCCAGCCTTCTAGATACCGCCTGACACGTATGTGCTCAATAAATATTTGAATTAACTTTTTGAGTGAATGAAGGGTTTTAAAGCAGGACGCAATGTGCTCAGAATTGTGCTTGACAACCAATTCTCATCTGAGGGACAGAAGGACTTTTTCTGGCTATATTCTCTCTCTTCCTTCCTTTCCCACCAACCCCTACCAAGTAAATACTCTCAAATTGTGATCCATAGACCATTTAGATCAGAATCATAGGGATGGGTAGGGGCCTGGGACTCACTTACTTAAAATTGAAATTCCCAGAGCCTCTATCTTCCAGCACATCTAATTGATATGTAACATGAAAAGCACATTTCATTCATTTTAAAATTATTCCACAAATATTTATGGAGCACCAAGCTAGGTCTTGCAAGCCATAAAACATTTAATTGGGCATGCTAATCATAGAATTTACAGTCCAGAAGGGAAGCTAAGATAAATGAGACTATATATAATGTATATGTAGAATGTAGAAAACACTAAAAGCCATGATGGGTACAAATAAAATATTGTTAGAGTTAAAAGTTGGGGAAAGCCTCAGGGGGTGTGATCAAGGAAGTATTTATGGCTGATAGGGCATTAGAAAAGGTTTTCAGTGATAACTTTGGAAATAGGGAGTTGGAAGTGAAAGGCATTCTCATGGAGAGAACTGTATGAGTGAAGACAGCAGGAGGAGAGAACTCTTAAGTGAAGACAACAGGAAAGTCTGAAGTATAGTCGGAACAATGACAGCCTGGGTCTATAGAATGTTTGAGGTGGGGAGCTTGGTCGATAAGTTGGAGAGGTGGATGAGAGCTAGATGACCAGGGGCCTGAACGTTAAGGAGCTGTAAGATTAAAGTGAGCAGTAAAGAAATAAGCTATTTCTTTACTCTCTTGTCACTAAAAGTTCTTGAAAACATTGTCAGTATCTCCAAGTCCTCTCTCCTGTCCTCCTTTTAACCCGTCTGTGGTCAGACAATCCCCCCTCCCCATCGCTGCATGTAAACCACTCTTGTCAAGCACACCAGCATCCTCCATGTTGCTATGTTCGGTGTCGGTTCCTGAGTCCTCATCTTACAGAACCTGCCGGCAGCATCTGACAGGCAATCACGCCCACTTCCTTAATATACTTTCCTCACCTGGCCTCCAGGAGAGAGCACTCCTGAGTTTCCTCCTCATCTTGCTGGTTGCCCTTGAGAGCCAGACATCTCCATTGCTGTTTTTCCATCCCTACCATTTAATGTTGGAATGTCCCAGAAGCTAGTGCTTGATCTTCTTGCCCTTTATCTAAACTCACTTCCTCTTCCTTGATAATCTCATCCAATTGCATGGTGACATATATGATCTGTGTGCCCAAACGCCCCAGTGTTAACTCCAGTTCAGACTTCGTACTCAGACTCCAGACTGTGTGTGTACTTAATGTGCTCACTTTAATGTCTCATAGACGCATTAAGTTTAACATGTCCAAATTGAAACTGAACTTCTGAATTCTACCCCAGCCACACCTGCACAAATAAAAAATTGATTTAAAAAATAGATAAAAGTAAATGTATAATTTAAGAATAAGTAAATAAAAAATAAACAGCCCTGTTCTCTACTCTGTCTTGCCCATATCAGTTGATCAGAAACTCCATCCTTTCAGTTACTCAAGGCCAAAACCTTAGAATCTTTTCTTGTAACTCTCTTTTTCTCATAATACCCCAGATTCATTTCTTTTGGGAAATCCTATTGGCTCTCTCCTCAAAATATATCCAGACTTGAATCCTTCTGGCCACCAGCTGCTGTAGTCTCAAGTTACCATCACTTCTTGCCTGGATTACTGTGGCCCTCTCATGTGGTCTCCTTGCTTCCACCCTTGCCCCACTACAAGCAGCCAGCGTGATCCTTGTACAAGGCAGGTGGAATCCTGTCACTCCTTGGCTCAGGAACCCTCCAGTGGCTCCTCATTTCACCAGAGGAAGAGCCGAAGCCCTGACAGTGGCCTGCAGGGCCCTGTAGGATCTGACTTCTGCTTTCCCTCGTGCTGATCCCACACACCTGCCAGGCTGCTTCTGCCTCAGGCCTTTCCCTGCCTGGACCGCTCTAACTCCAGAAATCCCCAGGGCCTTTCCTCCCTGCTTTCCTTCAGATGTCAGCTTCTCAGGGAGGCTTGCCCTCATCCACATTTTGAAAGTTGTAATATTCTTTTTTTACCCTTTTCCTCCTTTTTACACTACATTTTTCCCATAGCACTTACTACCTTCTAACATACTGTATGATTTATTTAATGTTTTTACTGCATCCTGTCTCCCTCCCCACCCCATTGGAATGTAAGGTCCACGAGGGATCTTTGTTTTGTTCACTGATGTATCCCAGGCACCTAGACTACTGCCTAGCATGTAGTATGTGTTCAGTAAGTATTTGAATGAATGTACTGAATAAGGCTGTTGAATGGAATTGAAGGGTTTTTAATCAGGATTTGATGTGATCAGAGTTGTGTTGAAGACTGATTCTTAATTTAGGACCAGGTTTTTTTTTCAAGTTATATCCTGTCTTCCTCACTCACCAACCTCTGCCAACTTAGTGTTCTCAAATGGCAGTCGATAGACCATTCACATCAGAATCAAGGGCTAGGAGTGGGGACAGAGGGTGGTGTCTAGGGCCAACATGTTTAAAATTCAAATTCCTCATTTCAGACCTTTTAAGTCAGTCTCTGAGGAGTGGATCCTGGAATCTGAATTTTTGTCAGGTTCCCTGGTTAATTCTTACATGTGCAAGCTACAGTTTGAGAATCATTTACTTAAGGAGTCTACCCACCCACCCCCATTATTCTATTTTGGCTTTTCCCTCAGATATATGTAGGTGTGAAAGTTACAAAAAAGTTTGGGAATCTGTTTTATGCAAGGCACCCCGGGTTTGAATCCTGGGTGTATCAGTTATAAGCTGATACATGACTTAGCTTCCTAGTGCCTCAGTTTCCTTATTTGTATTATGTGGATAATAGTAATGTACACCTCCAAGTGTTGTTAGGAAGATTAAATGAATTAATATATATAAAGTGCTTAGAATTGTAATTGGTACATAGTAAGTGCTCAATAAATGCTGGCTATTCAGAAATCTTTGAAAAAATGCCTACAGAGAGGGAGAAGCTAGTGGTAGGGATGTGTGCCAAATCTACCCCTCTACTCTGCATTGTGTGTCTGGGCTAGGACTCTGAAAATTACTGTCTCCTTCCAGCTGACTTTCCATTAAGTTCTGCCAGTAGCCTGGAAGGAGGAGGGGAGAAGGGACCTACTCTGTCCTACTTGCCAGCTGTTCCCTCAGTGTTATTCAGACAATGGCCCTTCACCCCGACAGTGACAGTTGGAATCAGCTGCTTTTTCCCCAGAGCAGCTCCATGGTGCCCCTTAGAAGCACCAGCAGTTAGCAGGCAGGGAGGTCCCCTCAGAGGTCTGACCTCTAGACCGGGGGAGCGCTCTCCCTGAGGCATCTGGGTGAGGACACCCCCATCTCTTCTCTCTGTCTCCCCAGCCCCAGGGGTGGTGGCAGCTGCTTTCTCACTTACCATCTCTGTGGTAAGTCAGTGTGCTCCTTGTCAACTTTTTCAAAAATGTTAGCATCTGTTTAGCCAATTCCCTCTATTATTTTCTCTCTGTTAGAAAAACTAGTGTGGTTTCTGTTTTTCTGACTGGACCCTGACAGGTAGACAATGTTAGAGGTAAACTTTTAATCAAGGTCTAGACAACAAGCAGTGAAGGCACAGAAGAGATCCAGCAGCCCTGTAACTGACTGAACGTGGGCAGAGGAAGGGGAGGAGGAGTTCAAGATGGCTTTGAAGGATTGAACCCAGTGACTGAGAAGGTGATGCTGCTATTCTGAGAAGGAGAACAGTGTGGAGAGACTCGGTGGTGAGTCTGGGGCTTGCTGTTTGAGGTCCTTGCAGGCCATCAAATGGAAAAGTTAGGACAGCTGGAAAGAGGCCAGGGTACGAGGGGAAGTCATCTGCCCAGATGGCTGCAACTGTCACAGGAGAAGGTAGAAAAATGAGAAAAATGAGATGAAAAGGGGAGTTGCCCTCCCAAAGTGGGAAGATGACAACCAGCGCAAAGTGTGGGAGAGGAGGGCAGGAATGCGACCTGACCTTCTGGAATATGGATCTGGGGAGCTGGGGAGAAAGGGGAGGGTGGGGAGGGGGTTGGGAAGGAGGGGAATCAGGAGGCAGACCTGTAGAATTCAAGGACAGGAACTAATTTCAGAGAGGTCAGTGGTCAGGAGCTAAGGCGAGGTTGAGAGGAACAACTGAGGAAAGAACAGAGAGTTTGTGGTTAGGAGGTGTGGCAGGGTTGGGGTGAGGGAGGCTCAGAAGCCAGATGCCAAGATGCTAAGGACTAAATGAGACCTAGTCTTACAGTTTGGCTCTGAAAGGAGAGGGGAGAAGATAGTAACTTGGCAGTAGATAGCAAGGCTGTGTTTTTGGTTTGTTTTAAAACCAAAGCAAACCCAATCATGTAACTGTTACACGCTGTCTTGCCGTAACTGCTTTCCTTTCCCCAAATGCCTGTATGGTCACACTGGAGACAACACGTTTGAACCCTCTCACAAATACTAGGCAAAATCCTGACGATGCTCCTGTGATTTAAATAGACTGGATGGGCACTGACAGTGAATATCTTGGAGGCAGCCCATCCAGTATTTCATGTGCATATTAGTCAAGAGAGTTAACATGATAGTAAATATCCCCCAAGTCTCAGAGGCTTAACACAACATAAGACTTATTTCTCCCTCTTGTCACAGCCGAGTTAGATGTTAGCAAGTATTCTTCCATGCAGGGACCCAAGCTCCTTCCCAACTGATGGCGCCACCATTTCCTAGGGCCTCAGTGTCCACTGGACCGTCTGTATCCACAGATGTACAAAGAGTGGAGACTCTCTGGGGGGTCTCAGAGGCCAGGCCTCCACTGGCCAACTCAGTCACGTATCCCAGTCGCTGCTAGGGAGCCTGGGAAATGGGGTAGAGCAGTGTGCCCAGGAAGCAGAGGAGACCTATGAATGCTGCTGAGCCACAGTAAAGGTCTTTGTTTTGTGTTTTCATTTCCAAGCTCCTTCACTCCAGTATATAACAGTCTCTTCTTTTAAATTCTAGCAGAATTTGCTTTTAGTCCAGCCTACAGTGTCTCCCACTTCACTCACTCCACAAATGTTTATTAAGTGCTTATTATTTTTTGAGCACTGTGAATACAAGTATGTCACATTCTACCAAGGAGGCAGGTGGGAGTTTAAAAATTCAATACAGTGAGATAAGTGCTGTGTTCATTATGTACCAGCTATGGGAACACAGAGGTGGATTAATCCTGCTCAGGTAGTTCAGGAAAGATTTTGCAGAGGAAATGGCATTTGACCTGACTTGATTAATAGGAGTTCACTTGGCTCAGGAGTTGAGTTAAGGGGTAAAGTTGGAGGGAGTTCCATTTTCCAGATATGCCAGTCAAAAAGAATAGCATTTACAACAGCATGATGGGGTAAGAGTACTTGGTGTGTTTGGAAAGCTTCAAGTCTTGAGTGTAGCTGAGGGTTGTGTGGAAGAGATTGTTTAAAGCTCAGTTGAATGGGTTAAGTTCGAGGCCAATTCTTGAAAGAGTCTTTATATGACATACTGTTGTGGGCAGAATTGTGCCTGCCTATAGCCCCCAAATCATCTGTTGACATCCTAACCCCCAGTATCTAAGAATGTGACTGTATTTGGTGATCGGGTCTTTACAGAGATAAGTGAAAATGAGGTCATTCAGGTGGTCTCTAATCCAAGATGACTTGTGTCCTTATAAGAAGATGTAATTAGGACCCAGACACACCCAGAGGGAAGACCATGTGAAGACACAGGGAGGAGGCAGCTATCCACAAGCTAAGGAGAGGAACTTCAGGAGACAGCAACTCCGCTGACATGTTAATCTCAGACTTCTAGGCTCTGGAACTGCATAAACATAATTTCGGCTGTTCAAGCCTCTATTCCGTGGTACTTGATTACGGAAGCCCTAGCTGACTGATACACATTACCAAAGAATGGAACGGAAGAGATGCATTCCAGGAACGTCTTCGAGTCAGAATCAGGGATTCTTGGGGAATGCGGTAAGGAGGGATGTGGGAGAGGGCAAAGCTAAGGATGACTGAAGTTTTTTGCCTCAGTCTCCTGGCTGGATGGATGAGGGGCTGGTAACTGTGAACTGCAATAGAGGAGAAGGTTGCATTGTCCAGTAGTCATCTCATGTGTGTCTCCCCTTCAGCAAGCCTGGAAGTCCCTAGGATGGGGGACTTCCTAGTGAAGGGCCAGACTAGTGTATTGCTTTTAAAGTCCATGCAGATTAAAGGGGACTTGATTTAGTTGATTCAGTTTATCACTGGTAATATTATTAATTACTCGATTGACAATGATAGAATCTCTTACATAGCTCTGGAAAAATGTTTACAAATTAAAACTATATTGTCCTAGGCTTCCTTCCCCAGAGAATGTGGAATGTACAGTACTCCCATCCTCAGGCTGTTTGAGTGGACTCAGTGGCTGAATCACCCCAGCAAGAGTCTCTGGGTGAGTAAAGCATACTTGTACATTCTCTTTAAAAGTGGGATGGCACACAGCCTCTGCCAGCCTTTTTTTTTTTCTGAACCATTCTATTAATGCCAATCAGACAGAAAAAAATGATCAGATGTAATTGCATTTTGAGCATCAAAAAATGATAGATAAATAATAAAGTCAGTGCAGGGCTTTATCTATGACAACAAGTAGGCAACCCTGAATAAATGCTCATTTTAAAGAACGCCTTCTTGGGACTTGGAGCACAGAAAAACCTGTGGTTGAGTCTAGTCTAGTGTTCCATAGCTTTTGTCAATAGGTTTTCATTTGCTTTCATTTTCTCCAAATAATTCAGAATTGCATGGTGGTGAGAGAAATGCTGTGGTTGTTAAAAACGGAGGCGAGAAAGTACACACGCGTGAGCCGTCGAGATCTTGCTGAGGAGGCAGAGGGAGATGTTTTTAATTGGCTGCATTTCATTTGTGAGTCTGGCAATTTGATGGAGGAGAAGTTTTCAGAAAATTGCCAAACCTTAGGGAATTGTCCCAGAATAAAAGAAAATCATCCTCATGTTGTTCGTAACACAGAAGCAGACTCCACATTTTGTTGCCATTTCTGAGTTTTCATGAAATGTGTAATAGTGCAAAGCCCATGATGGGACAAAAGGATCGGCTCTTCAGCAGCTTTATGAGTTTGATTTTCCTTTTAGAATTTGCTACCATGTTGTCTTTTTCCTCCGGGACCCCCTGTTTTCTTCCCCGTTGGCAGTAACTAGAAGGAAGCTTAGCTGGCAGATTCTAGAAGACTGCTTTCCTTTGCCCATTCATTCCTCCTCCTCACTCCTTCCTCAGTTGACACCAAAATCCATTGTATCTTCTGCACTAGTTTTGGGTTTTTTTTTAACTCTCTCTCTCTCTCTCTTTTTTAATTCCCCTCTATTTGAAAGAAAAGATTCAGAGACATACAAGGTTCCACTAAAACTTTTTATTTATTGCCTCTCCCACCCCAGGTATTGTAAATAACAAAGAATTTGTTATGGATTAGACTTTTAGTAATTTTCTTCCCAAAATCTCTTCTAACTTCGGGTAAAGACTGGGACCACCTCTGAAGAGAATTCTGAGGAGGATGTTTGTGGAGGGGTTTCCATCTGGGAGGGATTACTTGGCAAATGCTTTAGGCCAATGAGAGATCTGAGAAATGGTGCACTTTTCACTCTTTCCTTTCCACTTGGTGTGTAAGGCCCCCAAACCCAATACCTGTAGGGCCAAAATTTTTGGCGTAGCAAACTGTGAACAAGAGAGAAGAGGACAGGGGAGAGAATGGGTCGGTCAGCACCGTTACTTCAGTTCCTTTCGTCTGAGCACAGCCCTTTTATCTTAGAGAGGCATATTTTTGATAAATATGCTTATAAGTTAACTTTTAAATAAATTGAACCATATTTATTTTAGATCTGCTAACAAAAACTGTATATACTTGTTTGCACTTCACTAGGTGTGTTCGGAGATGTTTTCTCATTTGAGTCAGTATAATCTGGCTGCTGGTTGCCTGTCCAGCCTCACCCCCTCCCACCTCCTTCCTCTGCCTCCCTCCCTGCACTCCAGGCACTCAGAACTACTTGCAGTTCCTAGAATGAAACACAATGCCCTGGCCTTGGTGCCTTTATACTCACTGCTCCCTGTTCCCACAATACTCCCTCCTAAAGCCACGTTCACTCTTCAGGACCCAGAGGAAGGTTGTCTTCTAAGAAGCTTTCCCTAACACCCCCGGCTGATCACTGGCCTCTCTGTGCCACTGCACTGGTCCCAGCCCTCTTCTAGAGCTTTTATCACTTGAGAGTGCAATTACTTCTGTACAGGTTGATCTCCTTGCAGCTACAGTTTAGGGTTTTATGGCCTATGAATTCTGAGGACCCTCTGTATCCTCTACTGCCAGGAGAAAGCAGCTCATTGTAGGAGAAGCTTGGTGACCTAGAGTTTTGAACAGTAATGTCCTCCCTCTTTCCCCTCCCCCACTCTGACACACACATTTGGAGATCTTGAGACACCAGCATTGAGTGAAGGGGTGGGAGGACCCTGCTGAGAAACAGAATAGGCCTAGGAGGGGCTCTGAGGTTGAGGACACATTGCCTTGGCCCTAAAGCATCCCTTTCTCTTCATAGCGTCAGGAAGGAGCTAAGCCTCTGTTGCCTCTCTGCAAGATGAAGGGATTATGGAGGCAGCTGGGGGCAAAGCTGCGAGGACCAGAAGGCAAACCAGCTTGTCAGTTCTCTCCCTGTGATCACTAAGTGATGTGCAACATCAGAAACAGAAATGTCAGGGAGGAAGGAGATGGATGTGCTTAATAAATACGGGAGAGGCCAAACTGAGTTCATCTTCCCCCTCCCATCACCTTTATCTGCCAGTCAAGTGGACAGAATATTTAGGTTTTTGGAAGGGAATATGATGCTTTTGTCCAGACCTAAGGCCTCTTCCAAGGCCAGTCAGGACACAGCTTCCTCCTCGTCCTTCCTCCCCCAGGTGCCCAGCTGCCCTGAACCACTGGGCATCTGCAAGCATTAGGTCCCCCAGATGCTTCTGTAGAGAGGACCAGAGGTGGGTCAGGCAGGAAGTTTCTTTCTCTTAGGTGGCTTTGCTCCCCATCCCAAGAGCCCACACCCAGCTCAGGCTGAGAAGCCATGCATCCTGGCAGACACCAGCCTCTCTGCAGGGGCATAGCTTCCCCTCCCAAGAACCCTCCCTGGGAAGACATCTCAGGAGAGTCTTTGGAGCCACTCACCTTTGCAATAAAGTTCCCCGTCTTTGTCAGTGACGTTTGTGGACTCTAGACTCTTTCCACAGATGGCACAGCGAAAACAGGTCTTGTGCCAAGGCTGTGGGGCACAGAAGAGTAGGGCAGTTAGATATTTAATAAGGCAGGAAGGACATGTACTTCTGTGTTAAGTCCCCCAATCAGCAGCATATAGAGGATGGCCCCGCCTTAGCCTTTCATGCACCTAATTGGCCCTGAGAATCATTTTTACAGGGGTTTGGAGAAAATGCAATGCTATGGACTTGGCCAGTGATTCTCAGAACCCCTAAAAATGAATTTATCAAGGTGGTTTCCATATGTTCACTTTCAGAACAAACTAAAGAGAAAAAGGCTTCCCCTTTCTAGAAGATCAAAAAACAAACTAGAGAGAGGGGAACTTGGACTTGAGGCAGTGGGTAACATATTGAATGTAAAGTGAAGAAGAAAAAAAGGTGAAGAAATGAGCAGTCATCCAGGAAACTCAGCCTCATATGACTCTCCTTGTGTTTCTGATGTGAGAGAGTTGGTGTCTTGGAAGATGTCCTGCCTCCTGTGTATCTGCACATCTCCCAGGCCCAGCCCAGGGTCCTCATCCGTGTTTAAATGGCCAGTCCTGCGGTGGAGACTGCCCCTATATTTGAAGTCAGGCACTCTCCATGGACTTCCTCCCCCCATTTAGTATAAACAGAATTTTTGTCTGTCTTCAGGCCCAAATCCTTTGGCGAACACCCTGGCGGCAGGCCTGAAACCGGAGCTTGTAGACAAGAGTGCATTACTGTCTCAGACATCGCATGACCCCCCTGATTGCTAGGACATTTGTCAGCAAGCATGCTGCTCGCTGCTGTGAGGTGTTTGCTCTGTGCATCAGTGTGATGCCAGCAGCAGGCTGAGTTATGCAAGGGTGGCGGCTCCCAGGGCTGACCTCATTCTGGAAAGATTGCAGATCCTGAGGGCAAGGGGAGCTTGTGCACCTGTGTATCTCCAGAGCTTCTCACTGGGTGCCTCCCATCTAGTGGGTTAATGCTTATTGCATCAAATTCTACGAGTTCCAGTTTCCTAGGGCACTGCAGGATGATGGTCCCAGCCTGGAAAGGTGGGTGAGGATGGGTGGCTCCTAAGTGGTTCCTGGGAGCTAAGGAGGGTCTGGCTCCCACCTGCCCACAGTTGCTACTTTCCTCTCTCAGTCCTCCCAGCAGATCCAGTGAAACAGGCTCACTTTGAAGTCCTTACCTTGCCACCTCCCATCACCTTCTCAGCAGCATAGACTGACTTGCCACATCGAGGGCACTTCTCTGACTCTCCAAATTTTGCAGTAAACTTGGAAGGGTTGCTGGTGGTGGCTGAGCGTGCCTGCTTTGGGGACCTGGTGGAAACAGAGAGATGAATGAAACCTATAGAATTCCCTTGGCAAACAGTAGTAGTTACGTGACCTTGAGCAATTTACTTAACTTCTCTGTGCCTTAGACGCCGCATCTGGAAAGTGGGGATAGTCATGGTGCCTTCCTCACAGGGTTGTTGAGAAGGTTAAATGAGGCCACACGAGTAGAGCACTTAGAACAGTGCTTGCCTGGCATGTTGTAAGGGCCCATGAATGTTAGTCAGAATTCATTTACATCTTTCCTTTCTGTTGTAAAGCACTTAGCAAGTGTTCCATGTATGTTAGCTTGTATTATTGCCATTGTTGTGTTCTTATTATTGCTGTGATTGTTCATTTGGGTTTTTCTTGTACCATCGTGAAACCCACGGATCTGCTTTCCAAAATGAGTAAAAATATTACTGGGCAGGATAGGATCTTGACAGTTGATACTAAACAAACCATAGTCCAATGAGCTGACGCATTCCTCGTCACAATTCAAATTGTCACCCTGCAGCCAAAGGTCACCTGTCCTCTTGAGAGCAATGTCTAAGATAGAGGCATAATAATAACCCTGTGTTCCCATATCTTTTGGTGTTTCCTTGTACATTTATCATTTGAGTTTCACCATAACCCTCTAAAGTAGGCAGGGCTAGCTGGAGGAGAGCGAGGGTAAGAGGAGGAGCTGCCCAAGGTCAGCAGCTCGTAACTGGTGGAGCTGGGATGAAACCCAGGTCTCCAGACTCTCTTCCTCTCTGTGCAGCATCACAGAAAAGCCCTAACATAGAAGAGTATGCTTTGGTTCATTCAAGGCAGAGGATGCAGTTAGTACCATCTTTCTTCTTTAAACAGAGTCTCCAGTTGGGATTGAGTCATGAGAAAAATTTAAACAACTAATCACACATGCTTGCACTTTTCCAGGCTCTACTGTGGGCTACCTTTTTTGGAAAGGACCAGATGACTCTTCAGATGGTCTAACTGTTCTCTTGGGGATGCCCTCCACGGGACACTGCCTCTGTTGGGCTAGGCCTTTCTACCCAGTCCCACCGCAGAGCTGAGCCCGGGTACCAGCTGGCCAGACAGCAGCTGCAGGCCAGTGACTGTCAGTCTGTACTCAGTTTTGGGCTGGAGGTCAGCGTGGTCATCAAGTAGAACAGATTGGTAGATGGAGGAGGCACAGTGTGATAGCACTGGCAGGGAACCTCAACTCTGTATTGGCAACAGGCAGCCAGGGAGACCCGCAGAACAGTCATAATGATTGTTTACACCTGAGGCCCGTCCCACCCCCACAGACCCACTCCCCGTATGATGTGGACATTAGTCATCTTACAATCCCAGGGAAGAAATCTTTCAATGATAAGCACACAGAGAATGGCCATTGCGTCCCTGCCATATTTATATGATTTACACAGAAATGCTCAAAGGAGAAGAAAAGAGACTCCATGCAATTTTGCAAAGGTCAAACAATAGAATATCTGTACATTCTGGGTTTTCTCTTGACATGCAAACCAAGAGCCATGGTGTAAAAGTAATTGCCCTTTAGAAAGGCAGATAATTTAAAGAGAGTCTTTGGAGAGATGACACATTGTGAGAACTTGGTCAGACTGAGTATTCCTATTGTTGGCACGTCAACAATAGAGTCCATCCTCCCACTTCCAGAAAACGTTGCCATGGGAACAGAATGAACTGTCCTGATAGCTGGGGCTTTCCCAGCTGGGAGAAGTGAGGCAGTGACTCACTGTTGGAACTGGAGGCCCAGGTGTTCGCCTGTGTCTGTGCTGAGGCAGCCGGCGCCTTGTCCATACCCGATCCCCTTCGGGCCATACCTGCGCCCATAGCAAACCTTACAGTAGATCTCTGACTCGTGAGCTGCCACCGTGGTGCTGTCCAGAGCCTTCCTGCAGGCCACTGCGGGGAAAGGAGAGTCAGGCGGTTGGGGCTGAGATTCCTCCCCCATTCCCTGCACCTACAGTGCCCTGATCGGACCCAAGGGACCCAGCATGAGGGGCCCTCCGGCCAAGAACACAACTCTGATTCCTGACCAGAGCATCTGACCTGAGTCTTAGATTCCTGGTCAGTCCTGTTTCACAGATAAGGAAATTGGAGCACAGAGAAGGGAAATAATGTTTTCAGTGGTATCCAGCAAGAAAGAGGTGGAGGGCAGGACTGGCACCTGGTGTGTAGTCTCGGACCAGCTAAGAATGTTGTCCCTGAATTGGAACAACCTGCGTTCCTGAGGATCTCACCCCAAAAGACATGGGGGAGGTGTGAGTGTATTTGTGTAAGGGTGGCTAAGGGGTAAGAAGCTAAAGCAGAGGAGGGATTTATTTTTCCTTAATCACGTTAGAATCAGGATTGAGCAGTTTCTCTACTTCTCATGGCCTGTGATATTCAGAGAGACAGTTACCACTGAGTACTTTTGATCCAGTTCTGGAAGCAAGGGAGGTAAGGAAGAGCTGCTTTTAGGCTTGTATTGGCTCAAGCCGCCTCATCACTGTATATCACCTAATGTAAAGTATCCCCCATACTTTACATTATTAGTATAGCTATACACATACTATATATATGTGTTATACCTAGTATTTAAGGCAATCTCCTATTTTTCCAAAGAGAAGATTTATAGATTTATTTTGCCAATAAACTTTTAAGGATGTAAGTGAAAGTGTCAAGTACCTGCTTATATTTAATAATATAAATCAACAGTATGTTGATTTGGAGATGTTACTTTTTTCTAATCTAACACAAATTCAGGAAACAATTGTATCCAAATTATTCTTCTGCATCTTCAACATCAGCATTTCCCTTCTCACCAGTGTCTTTTTGAGGCAGCTGACCCAGCTCTCCAGAGCAGCTCATCTCCACTTCTGTCTACGTCTTTGGGAGGCAGCCCTGTTTCCCTGAGTAGGAGGCTGCCACTTGGAAATTGTATCTTGACAAGACTTACCTATTAGCAATAATATTAGGGTAGCTTTAAAAAGTGTATAGGATTTCCACAGCTTAACACCTCACTGTATTGCTTTGTAACGGTAATCCCTGAAGGTTGTTTACGGTGATACTCAGTGCTTATAATAGTGAGGTCGTACCCTCAGGAATAGTAATACATGTGCATTCAATTTATTCGCCTCCTTCAAAAAAAATCAATTCCATCAAGTGACCTCTATAAGCAAGCTAGCATTGAATAAGTTTGTTTCAGACTAATAAGTCTTTTTTCAAATGGTAATTGATTTAAAAAAAAATAAGGCAATTGAATACAACAGTGAGAGAAGAAGATAAGGTTGTAGATGAGGTAGGATTGGCCAGAGGTTGGTGGTTATGTAGCTGGGGAAACAGGCATACAGGAGTTCATTAAACAATTATGTCAATATGGTGTGTGTTAAAAATGTCTGCTAAAAAAAAGTTTTAATAAATAAAGTAATTGAGAGACTGTCAGTATAGTGTCTCTATAACGTGAGAGACTTTATAAGGCTTTGAAGCCAAGGCAAACCCTTTTTATGAGGAATGATTTGGGGGGGAAGGCCTTATATTTGAGCATATAAGGTATATACTGGGCTCTGCCCTGATTGTTGCCATTAGTTACTCATCTCCAGAATAACCTGTTAGATAATCATTGGTGTTCTAGACTCAGAGTTCCTTGAGGGCAAAACTGTTTCATCTTAACATCCCCAGGACTTAGCACAGAGTCTAGCCCTGAGTTGGTCCTTTGAAACTTTCGTTGAATGAACGAGTGAGTGAATGAATGAATGTTCACATGGGTGAATGAAGATCAGTGACTTGTCCACGATTATATAACAGTAAGTGGCAGAACCTCAGTGACTGGCCTCAGGTCCTTTGACTCCGACTCCAGTGCTCTTTCCTCTCTCCAGGACTGCCTGTGCCCTGTCGTGTCCTGGCCAGTCCTGTAGCCACCCCCTGGCTTCTGACCAGCTTTCACACACAGGCACAGTAGAGCTGTGCTGTCCAGTACTGTAGCCACTCGTCTGCCACAGGAGGTCCTCTAAGTGCAAAGTGTGCACCAATTTCAAACACTTAGTACAAATGAAAAAGAATGTAGAGTATCCTGTTAATAATGTGTATATTGATTACATGTTGGAATTATGATTTTTTATATATCAGGTTAAATGTTTTAAAATTAGTTTCACTTGTTTATTTTTTACCTTGTTAAAAATAGAGTTACTAGAAAATCTAAGTTTCCATATGTGGCTTGCATTAGATTTCTTTTGGACAGCGCTGACAGGAAGGATTAAGATTTGTCTAGAAGTTTGGAGAACACTGGCCTGGGGACAAGCTAAGGCAGACTCTGCCTCTCTAAACTCTATTTCTAGCAACTATGGGATGACCTTGGATGGGCAAGTCTTGTGATGATAGTATAGAAAATCATGCTTCACTCCAGGTTCCTTCTGTCCACCACTACAGAGACTCCCATCGCACCACAAGTTCTAAGGAGAATATACAAGGGTTCAAAGGGATGTACCAGCAAATGTTCAAATCCTTTCTGCCAGGGCTTCATGAAACAGGGTGGTGTCCTGCTTCCTGGGAAAGACAAGACACCCCTCACCATGGAAAGCATCCCTACCATTTCCTGTTCCCACTCAGACATCAAAGTTGATGGATTTCGGATAAAGAACCCTATCTTTCTTCTTATGACAACTTATGTGGTAAGTACACCCATCTCTATTTTATAAATGGGGAGATTGAGGCTCACAGTGGTGAAATGACTTACCCAAGATCATACAGTTCCAGTACATGGCAGAGCCCAGACCCAAACTCTAGTCATGTTTACTTCAATTCTGGTGTTCTTTCCAATATTCCTCACAACTCCCCACTCTTTTTAAAGAACACTAGCTGTATTTGGACAAAAGCCAGGAGGTTATGGAGTGAACTCTCCTGAGCAATGACTTCTGGATAATTGTGATGATAATGATGAATCTAATGGATATGAATGATGACTTAAAAATAATTACCCATCATTAAAACCTAAAGCATTAGTAGATCTGCCAACCCAATCACTCAGAGCAGCGTTTTCCCTGTTCCTCCATGAGAATTCTGTTTGTTGTGGGAGGTAAGGGCTAATGGAAACTCCTGCAGCAGATAAAACTGTTACTATTTCTGGAGGATGAAGTGTCTCCTTGCCCTAAGAGATGGAGCCCAGCCTTTGAAGTTCTGTTTGATACAGTTTGAGGCAGCATGACACCTTGTGTTTGCTGGGCTAAGGCATGGGGGTGGGCGGGGCATAATGTGGGGGGGATGTCTGCCAAATGTCCATCAAAGTTAACCAGCAAAGAAGGTAAGCAGCCAAAACAGCACTGTTCTCCCAAAATAGGATTAAGCTGCTAGGAAACTCTAGGATGCAGTTGTGTTGAAGAGACTGGATGGGGAGCCTCAAGGTACAGGCTCTACTGCAGATGCTTGTGGCCCAGGCTTAGAAATGAGAATTGATGTGTTTAACGTCACAGGAGTTGGGCAGAGCCAGACTCCCAGGTGGAACACAGAGTCTTTAATTTTCCCCTAGTTTGGACATTTGTAAAGCTGCATCCGCAGGGGATGGTAAAGGTTCCCTTTGTCAAGTTACTGGTGCCCAAGCCCCAAACTCTTCCCTGTCTGACCCTTCCATAATTGGCACGTGTTGCCCCCCGCCTGACACATGTTCTTTCTTGGGAAAGACCAGTTGCAGCTGGTTTCAGTGACAGCTGGCCTGTGGGAACAACACATGGAGCCAAGTCCATCCTGGCTGCAGATAAGTGATGGCTTCCTTCCTGTGCCAAGTCACACTTTATAAATGTCGCCACTGGGTCAAGGTTTTCACCACTGAGAGCTTGCTCTGACTTTGAACTGCAGGGAAGCAGCCTCTGAGCTGGGCCAGTGGTTGGAGAGAGGGTGCACAGTAAAGCATTATCCTGTCTTCAAGTGGGGCTCCAAAGTGGTATTTCTAACAAGTTCCCAGGGGATGCTGATGCTACTGGTCCCGGGACCATACTCTGAGAACTACTGATACACAATATCTGTGGCTAAACGTAAACTTCGAAGTGCCCTCAGGATGCTGAGGGACCCTGAGTGTGTTCACACAACTCACTGCAGTGGAAGCAGGTCTTGTGGAAACTCCTTCCATTGCACTGGATTTCTTCCGCGTGGTAGACGGTCTTTTCGCAGGCTCCGCATTTTGCTCCTCCACCCCAGTTTGGCATCCTGAAGACTCTCTGCTCAAGATCAAGTCTAACAGGGTATAAAGAAAATACTCTTAATTTAGGCAGCCACAAGAGGGAACCAATCCCTAATAGTGCTGTGGTCTGAAGACTGGGATCCAGCCTATTTGTTGTTAGTTCATTTGTTCATTCATTCATTCAACAAGTGGTTACTGTGTGAAAAATCACTGAGTAAGCTGAGGCACTTAGAGCAAGCTCTGAGCAAGTCCCGTTACCACTTTGGGACTCAATTTCCTCTTTTGTTAAATTTCAATAGCACCTGCTCCTATATATCTCACAGGGTTCTTAGAAGAAATGGATTAGATAGTTTTGTGTGTCTAAAATTATATACAAATATCCAGTATTATTATTTTCTTCTATCTGGGATTTAAAAAGTTACTTCATCAGAATTGGGAAAAGATGATGAAAATGGTATTTTCTTTTCATCTAGCTCAGTGCTTCTTGACTCACCTCAGATCTTGCTAGTATGCAGGCTTGGCAGATCTGGGGAGAGGCAGGAAATTTGGCATTTCTAATGGACTCCAGGCAGGGCTGATGCTAGAAAGCCTTCTTTTCAGATGTATCCCTCCTATCCCTACATTCCTTTTTTTTCTTTCTTTTTTTAACATTTTTTTTATTGAGTTATAGTCATTTTACAATGTTGTGTCAAGTACCAGTGTAGAGCACAATTTTTCAGTTACACATGAACAAACATATATTCATTGTCACATTTTTTTTTTGCTGTGAGCTACCATAAGACCTTGTATATATTTCTCTGTGCTATACAATGTAATCTTGTTTATCTATTCTACATTTTGAAATCCCAGTCTTTCCCTTCCCAATACATTCCTTTCCAAGAAATATCATTGCCCAGGCTATGAGCTATATTGGCACTGCACAAGATCAGTAGTTTGGAAACTTACCTCCTGCTTTCAGAGCTACCTGTAACTTGCCATATGTATTGATATAAACTTCATAGCTTCTCTTTATGTCTGTTTTCCCACCTATGCTGTGAAAGAGTCATTCTCCTCCTTGCTGCTTCCCAGTGTTGTTTAGAGGACCAGATGAAACGAAGTATAGGAAGGTACTTGTCAGAGCTCACTGTGCCAGGTGTGATCACAGGAGCCAGGTGATAATGCTGTGAGTCCCCCACACCCTTCAAGCACATTCTGCCAGAAGCTGCTGAGAGCCAGCCCCAGGCCATTCTTGTCTCCACAGTAGAGAATTATGTTTAAGAAATACTAGACAAGGAGGGCCACAAAATTTTTTTTTCCTTCTGTGTCTGCGTGTAAGTATGAATCCAATTTTCAGTCTTCCCAGAGCAGAATTAAAATAAGCCATCAGTATCAGTGAAATCTCTGAAATCCTGCCAGCCTCAGGGGCACTGAATTTTCTCTAGGATCCCTTGGTTTCTAAGAAGCCTGGTGTGTCATCTTGTCATTGACACCAAACACTATCAGGCCATTCCAAGTGGCTGCTTCTGACCTTCTCTTTCCCTTCTGGGAAGCTGGTCACCTTCTTATAATAGTTGGCGATTAACACTAAGCCTTCTGGATCACCTGGTCCAGATTGTGCCTCCCAGCCTTGTAACAAAGACAGATTTTGCTAAGGAACAGAAGATAAATAGCAAACAGACCACGGAACCTGATACTAGGACCAAAGGAAAACTCTCCATGTAAATGTTCTTCAAGGCGCTTTCCCTGCTTCCAAAAACAGTGTGAGGGGAGCCAGGAACATCCTATCCTTCCTCTCAGAGGAGCAGGCTCTTCTTTTTGTTCAGTAAAATCTTAGAAAATGTATATATATTTTTAAAAATCAAAACATTCAGTGCTCCCCTATCTATTGTGTAGGTTGTTTAGGATAGTGGTGGGAGTAATGGATTTTGAGTTGAAAGGCTTGGGATCAAGTCTGCATTCATTCATTCATTCATTGACTTAATCACCATGCATTTACTCCCCACCTATCATGTGTTAAGCACTGAACTAATTACTTGGTGAGGAACCCAAGAGAGTAAAGTTTATAAAAATGAGTAATTTGTGTTCCCTAGCTTTGAGAAGCCTACATTCTAGTGAGGAAGATGGGCAGAAATCAGTATTCTCTGTACAGAGAAGAGTCTTATGAGGAGTGCTATGAGAACTCAAAGGAGGGGATGGCTCCCCATGTTTAGATTGGGGAAGAAAGCTTGAGTGGTTGGAGGATCACAGAAAACATCACATCTAAGTAGGGTTTTGAAGGGGGGGGAAAAGAGTTCCGTAGATAGAGAAAAGAGGAAAAGACACTTCAGAAAGAAGCACCCAGAAAGGCATAGAGACCTTCAAATGCTCTCAAAGAGCCCACATTATTTTTTATTCTTTTAAAATTTTTAGGAATAGGTTTTCTAGATTGCTACCTTATTTACAAACAAAGGGAGGCATAAAAAGTAGACATTTGGGGGTATTTTCTTAGCCAGCTTCTTCTTTTAATATCTATCCTTCTTAAGTAAAGATGATACATTGTTCGGAAAAGGGTAGAATCACATAATCCTGCTTGTGTTCATCTTGATCCTGAGTTTCAATGTAATATAAAACAGAGAATAAATATATACCCGGGAACATGACAGTGACACTTGTGAAATTAATGATGTGAAAATTTTCAATGAAAACAACCCTAGGTCAGGTTTCTCATTTCAAATCTTCAGTGGAGATTTTGATGACATGTCCTGCAAGTTAATGGGAAAGAGATGTGCCTCTTAGGGGTGTGTGTGTGTGTGTGTATTCAGTAATTGTCTACAAATGATACTTTTCAAAATGAGTATAAGATTACAGATAATAGCTTATTCACAAGGTAATGGAGCCTGGCACAGGTTGTTTTTAAGTGATCATAAATATCTGACATTCATATATCAGGACTTGAAACTCAAAATAGAAATCCAGAAGCACTCTATTAGACAGGTGCTCAGTTCCATTTCCAAAGATGGAAAGGTAGCCATGGGGGCTTAACACAGAAGACATCTCTGATTTCTTCTTCAGATGCTCAGAGGCCAAAAGGGAGAGGGAGTTGTAAAGCATCCTGAATTGGAAGATGCGGGTTCTAGGCTTGACCCTGCGGCCTTGAATTGGGTGAAAAATGACAATAATATTGTGTTCTGCACTTTCCTCACAGGACCATTGTGAAGGTCATGGAAAGATGATGGAATTTAAAGCAGCACTGAGACACTGCTCAAAGGTAAGCCACTGTTACCCACTTTATTTCAGGCTATTCAAATAGCACCAATCTGCTAATTAAGTCACTATGATTTGAAAGCGCATTTAGGTCCTGGCTTACATACATAACCTTGTCAGCCTCCTACATTGCTTTGGAATTCCTGTGTCTCAACACCCCCCTAACCGGGCCTGGAATGTGAGTTAAGCTGGCAAGATACCAAGGGATGGGCCATTTGTTTATCAGCGTTGCCTGGCACAGGCAAGGGTCAATGAAGGTGGGACACCAAATATAGGCTTGCCCGTCACTCAGCCCTATTTGTCACCTGGATCACAGTCTCCATCACATCACCTGGCACTACTCCCTGGGTCAGTCCCAACATGGCTGTGTTGTCACAGACCAAGTCGTGGGTCAGGATTGAAATGGGGGACAATTTGGGATTTATGAGGATGAGACAGAATACAGGACCCTGCTATGTCAACTGGGGAGAGGGTGGACGCCAGACTTTTGGATACCCAGATCCCTGTGAGAGACTACCTGGGTAGATTCGTAACGAATAATGCTACAGAAGCGATTATACTGAGAATGTGCTACGGGAAGGGCTGGAGAAGGCAGTAAACCAGAGGCAGGAGGCTGGAGTTCTAGTTCTGTCTTCATAGCTATGTGATCTGGGAAAGCCATGCAAGCCTTCTGCACTTCAGTATCCTCTCTCTAAAACAGGCGTAATAGTCCCATCTGTTTCACTGTCGCTGGGAGCGCGGTAGTAGTTCAAGTGCGTCAAATCACTTTGTAAACCGCAGAGTATTGTAAAATGTAAGGACCAATTAGTTCTGCAGTAACTCCAAGTTGTCATGTATCAATCTGAACTTATAAAACAATAACTGTGCTGTGTATCTTGGGCACTTTCTTCCTAATCTGACACTCTTTCCTTTTTTTAAACTACCTACTGTGGAGCTGAAAGGTGATACCTTAGGGCAGAAGTGGGTAGGGTAGAAGAAATGAGTGCTCGGTAATTCTGTTTCTTCTTTGTAGGAGTCCATTAAGGAACCAGGGAGGGAACCTTGGGCCACGGCTTTGAGGAGGGACCTCCAGTGACACTGCCATTTTCATCTCAGTGTTAGTTCATTTGGTTGTCCTGTTTTATGCCTGATTCCACATAGTGAGTTAAATTGTCTGCACTGACTGAAGCTGAGATTTTGGATCATAGAAACAGATATCTGAAATCTAAGTGATAACTATAATCATTACTAATATAACAATGTTGTTATTGAAGCCAGAGTGCCTGGAGCCCAGCCCTTGGTTTACACTTCATTTAATCTTCACAGCAACCCTTCAAGGTAGGTACTGTTACAACATTGACTAGAAATGGGGACTTGGAATCTGGGGAAATTACACTGCCCAAGGTCACATGGCTAGGTTGGAACTTAGATCTCTCTGACTCCAAAGCTGTGTTCTTGTATTAACATTAGTTACTATTTCTTGTTTACATGTCAGTTGCTTTATATATACTACCTTTAATACAACAGCCCTGCAGAGCAAATTTTGTGATCCCCATTTTGCAGGTGAGAAAACTAAGACTCAGAGAGCTTAAGTGACTTATCAAGGTCCCGCAGCTAGTAAGTGGCAGAGCTGCAGTTCAGACCCCCCAGTTAAGCTTGTTCTGTATCGCTTGTCTCCACTTCCACTACACTGGGCCAGGGACAAGGGTCAATGTCTCCATTAACCAAGCTTCCCAGTTAATGGGAATTGGGATCTGATTGACCCACTGTCTCGCCATGAGACAGAGCATTCTCATGGGTAGGAGTAACAGGGAGACAGAATTCAATTCAGTAAAATAAAGGGCTCTCTAAGAGTCCGTGCTATTCAAACACGGAAAGGGCTCTTTGGGGCTAGAGAGTTCTTTCTCACCATTGGACTGAGCATAGCAGAGGATGAATGTCCAAGGGGCTGCAATGGCAGTGAAGCCCCTTCAAGGGTCCTTCAAGCTCTGAGACAGGTTTAGGGACCTGATCGGTGACTGGAGCCTCACCTTGCAGAAAAGCTGCCCAATGGTGTCTCCCCTTAAACACTGCCTCTTCTCTGTTCTCTTAGTCCAGGTAAAACAAATGACGTGGCATAGTGGGAAAGCATGGGCTTTGGAAAGAACCAAGCTAGGGTTCAAAAAACACTATCTATTTAACCTTGGGCAAAGTGCTGAAAATCTCTGGGCCCAGTGGTCCTCATGCATGTAAAGAGAGGATGAGAAGTCTTGTCTTTGAAGGTTGTTTTCAGGTTAAATAAGATAATAGTAATAGCTAAGATGCTAAATACATAAATACTTATACAGAGCAGGTATTTAATAATTTTAGTTGCTTTCATTATTACTATTAGTGTTACTATTTTATCTCTAGTTTTAAAATCCACTTTCTTAAAACAAGTAAATCTTTCCTACTTCTTTTCCATGACCCTTCTGTTCAGACTGTGAACCAACTCCATTTCTCAGCCTTCAGAGTGTGCTGTACGCAGGAGCGGAGGTAGCCAGGCCAGGGAGAGAGTCGGCCTTCTCCGGGGATCCTGGTGCCCAGTGTGAGGGACAGCACATCGGGAAGGATCCCGAGCCTGTGCCCCAGGACAGCCACTTCCTCACTTCGGCAGCTCTGGTGCCTAATGTCTGTTGATTTCGCTGGTGCTCTGGACTTTGAAGGGAAGCAGTGAACCCAAACAGAGTCCCCATGGCCCAGGGAGACCATGGCCTTCAGCTCCCTGGTATAGGACACTCAAGGTCATTGGCTTCTCCTAAGCTTCTGGACAGAAATATGAAGTCTCCCCATCCAGAGGCCCTTTCGCAAAGCTTGGGAAGCATAGGTCCCCTATTCCCAGCACAGAAATAAACCCAGCTCTCATCCCTTTAAAGTTCAGACAGAGCAGACATGCCTGCCCCTTAAACTAAGGCTATAATGCATGGGTCCTATCATATCTTTTCTGAAATTATCTCTGAGTTGTGGCCAACTTCTACTCTCAGAAATTCACTTTGTTCTATCTTGACCTTTATAGTTTGTTTTCAAAGACCACGTTGCATCCCTGGCTCTGCCACTTTCTAGCCGTGTGCCCCTGAGTGATTACTTTGCTTCCTTGAACTTTCATTTCTGCCTCTGAAGAATGACTTCTCGCAGGACTTTTGATGACAGTTAAATAGGCTAATCTTGTTCCATGCCTGCACAGGGCAGTAAACAACCAACAAATCATGATCAACCCTTTCCCATGATGAGGTCCACGAGGAGGCTCAGAAAAGGCCTTCCATCCTCCTTGGACCCAATAATAAGACAGTTATTGTCTCGCCTCCTGCTTTCCTTCACTGCAATGAATAACTGCAGTTTTTCACACTTGAAGGCATCACATTTCTCTTTGGCCATGAAGCCCAGCTCTGGATATACTATTCCCGGACATCTGAGCAGCATGCTTATAATTGGAAGTGCCTGCCTCAGGAGTTGTATTTCCTGTGTATTATACTCCTTGTCTGTGTCCTTCCTCCTGTAAAACAAATTAATCATCTTCTAACTCCTGCTCAGCTTGTTATTCACTCTGACCTCTGGACTTTAATCATCACATGCGTACTTAGCAGGAAATCCTCCTGCAGCCCATTGGGTTTGGCTCTGTGCCTTTTCTCAAAAGCCTTGAATATCTGTACTGTTTATTAATCTCACGAAGTGCTTCTCTATACTTTATCTCATCTGATTTTAACAAATCCCTTTGGGATAGGTGGTGTTACTTTAATTTTACTGTTCAGAAATGGAAACTCAGAGAAGTTAAGCGATGTTCAGAGCTAGAATTTGAACCGCTTCTATGACTGATAACTCTTCATTTTCCTCTGTGTCCTTCTGCGAGTCCCAGGGTTTCTAAATTTGTATTCTACCAAGATTCTGTCTCTGCTTCTTCTGAGAGGATCACAGTGATTTGCCTGTTGAAGGATCCTGCTCACTCTTTCCTCCTCTCTCTCCCTGCTGTCCCCACCTGCCTCCCCGATCTCCAATGGACAGCTTGTGTGTGTACTGCAGAGCACCTGTCTGGATCAGGAGGACACCGAGCCTAGAGATCAGCTGCACTCCCTGCCAACTGCCAGGGCTCAGTTTAAGGACTGAATTGTTCAGAATGGAACCAAAGCTGATCCAGAAGGATCCCTGACATTTTCTGGGTCATAAAGCAGTTTTACATACATTGTGATGAATTGGTTGTACCCAGCATTGAGATTCACTCCCAAAAGTAAACTGAGAACACAGGTTTTCCTGGTTTCCCTGCCCTTTTCATGCAGAGGCCACCCTTCCCTGCATAGGTGCTGCCTCTTCCGCCCCCTCTTCCAGCCCCAACACAGGAGATGGTCAATACAAGCTCACTGAATTGCATTGAATTGTGCTGCAGAGAGACAAGGCTCTTCAGACCTGTTCCCCATCCCCTCCTTCTTGGGGAGTCACCACCCCAGCTAAACAAAGGGAACAGAAATGAGAAGTGGAGGCTTTGATCTCTGGGCAGCATCTCCACTCAGACCATTGCTTAAAACCACTTCTCATTCTCAGTCACACTCATGCTTGTCATTCACTGGCATGTTAAAAAAAAAAAAAAAAAAAAAGAACCTTTACCAAAGCCTAGAGGAAACACTGGGACTCACACCTTATTCCCGCTGGGAATTAATTTTCCAAGTAAACAGAGCTTTTAATGGGTTTTCAATATAGCAAATGTCTAAAGCAAGCCTATTGCTAAACATCCATCCTTGGCATATTAAATCTACTTCAAACCAACAACTTCGTTGAGTATTTCATAGGTGCAAGACAGGATATGGTGAACTATAGAAATCTGAGTCATTCACCCACACCTTAGGAATAGCACAATTCCTTGTATTTTGGGCTTTAGAAAGCTGACTCCTGCTGTATTGTGTCTGTTGCAACCAGTTTATACCTATGCAGCACTTTACAGTTTAGAAAAATGTCACAACATCCATATCAGTCCTTGCAGAGGACACCAAGACCCTGAGAACAGGAAATTCCT